ATGAAAGAGGGCAAGTGAATCACTGTATCATTCAGGAACTCATTAACAAACTAACTGCAGTCTTCTTGGGTAGCCTAAGGCCTGTGTGGTCCTAGCTCCTCTGTCCTCTTAGCCAAGGCTCCTGTGCTTGGGTGAACAGGTGCCCGGAATGAGGGGCATGCTGACCTACTACTTAAGGGCTCTGTCCCTGCAAAGTTGGGAGTGAGTCTGGGCTGGTGCTGGCCAGATCCTGAGTGGGTAGCACCTTCCATGAAGCTGTGGGCACGGAAGGAGACCATGTGGAGTGTGCGTCTCTGGGGAGACACATCTAGGGTCAGTGGAGCCTGAAACTAGCAGGCCAGCTGGGAGGAGGCTGGGTCTTCAGAGACAGAGGGTCAGAAGAAATCAAGAGCCCCACTGATGGTGTGGGGCCACTCAGAGCTGGCAGACAGACGCAGCAGGGCCGGGCTATGATTGGGAGGAGTCTGTAGCTGCCAAGTTAAGAGTGGCAGCCAGCAGGAAGAGTGACAGGGCACTGAATAGGAGACAGGGCCGGAGGCTGGCCTGGCTTCAGAGGAATGACTTGGTGCTGAGGCTGAGGCTGTGCGAAACCAAAGGAGACCTGGGTGGGCGAGGACTGTGGGGGAGGGCTTGGGGGACGGGAACAGCCTGAAATAGGAATGGAAGAAAGGCGTGATAAGGGCAGGGTCTGGTGGGATCAGGAGGAACGTGTGTGTGTGTGTGTGTGTGTGTGTGTGTGTGTGTGTGTGTGTGTGTTGGACGGCCGAAAGGTGGGGGGCAGGTGGGGTCTTCTGGCAACCCAGAGCACCCTCAGCTTGGGCTGGGCCAGTGGGCAGTGCTTTGTGACTAGAGGGAAAGTTTTCTCCCTGGTCTGCTGGCAGAGGTTGGCAGGGGCCCAGAAGTTGGGTCATGAGTGAACACCGCACTCTCTCAGGCAGAATGTGACATGCGCTGGGGGCAATCTCAGTGCTGGGCCTCTGCTGTCTCCATGTTGTTGCACAGGGTGGCACCTCCCTGGAACCTCCCCTGTCACTGGACAAACTCAGACATCACCTGGCAGGCACAGAGTATACTCTGTGGAGACCACTAGACAATTTCTCCCCAGCTGCCCACTGGTTTGTAATCCAGTTTCTCAGAAAGGAAATTGCCAGATGGGCTGGCTAACTGGAAAGACAGCCTAGCCCAGGTCAGAGGGTGGAAACCAAATCATTGTTCACTGGCTACAGGAAGTCCATCTTCTCCAGCAGCAGGGGGACAGGAAGGAAGCTGTAGGGAGACAGGAACCCTGGGAAGCCTGTGAGCACACCCGCACCCACACGCTATTGGGGGCCAGCCTCCCCAATTCCCGCCTGTGGACAGGGAGGATAGTTGGCTGAGACCACTGAACTCGCTGAGACACTACTGTTAGGTGTCCACAGCCTCAAGAGGGGGAGCCCCACTGTAGGGTGCCCCAAGTGGAACTGACTGGATTGAGGTCCCCAAGGCCAGAGCTCTACAGCAAAGCACAGAGACTGGCTATGGTTCTGGGGCCTTGCCTGCTGCTCCCAGCTGTCATTAGGCCATCCCCAGCTAGTCCTCCCCAAGCCACAGCCCACACCTTAAGGTGGGGAGGGAACACTCTCAGGGTTGTCACAGAGACATTCCCAGGGCAGAGAAGTGGGGATGGAGGCTCTAGCAACACTGTCAGACCTACACCTCAGCCGTGGAGGCTGCCGCTTTTGGGCTCTCCCGGCTGTGCCTGCTGGGTGGGGGAGAGGGGCGGCAGCATCGAAAGCCTCAAGGATATCACTTTTAGAAGATAAGTGAAAGCAGGTATTACTCTGGATTTTTTTTTTCATCTGAAATAAAAGTTCTGACAAGTAAGAAAATTTCAAACAGCAGTTACCCGATAGCTGCTAGACAGTGCTTATCGCTGTTCAGCACCTACAGACGGGCAAGAAACACGCCTCTCTGCAGTGCATCCAGGCTGGATAAACAGCACGGCGCGTCTCTCAGACCCAGGCCATGGCAGGCAGCACATGAATATGGCGGGAATTCTACCCAGACAGACACTATACTGTTCCACACGATGCTTTCCCTGAAGCCCAGCTGCTCGCCCAGCATGGGCCCCGAGCTCTACCTCCTGCCCCACTTCTCACTGCAGGCCATTAGCAGTCCAGGCAGCTGCTGTGCCCACCAGGCTGCATGGGGGCCACGCCAGGGCAGTCCTGCCAGGCGACAGTGCTCTGTTGCCAAGTAGTAGCTCCCGCCTGCTCTTGTGGCCCCGGACGGGTCCCATGTATGCACATCTGGAAACGCACGTGTGGGAGGCTTCGGACCCCCTGCCCCAGCTCTGATGTTTTCAATTCGAAGCCTGCCCTGTGGCACCGCTGTGCCTTCAAAGAGCCGTGTGTGTCCCTGGGCCTGCAGTGAAAGCAGCCAGCATCTCTATGGCAGAGTCTCAGAGAGGTCCAACTATTTTGTCCTTAGTTCTACAGACAAATGTCTGTTCAGTTCACTTCCTCCAGGGAAAAGGGAACTCAGGACTGAACTAAACTGCTCTGGGTCCCAGAACCTGAGCTGCTTGGACCCAACCTGCAGGCAGGCCCTCCCTGTCCAGGGGCTGGATTCCCTGTGGGGCAGATGCAGAACCCCTCCACCCCACCCCTGCCCCCAGCACAGTGCAGAGGATAGGAGCATACTTGATCTGGAGGGCAAACTGTCCAAGTGCCGCCTCTCCTCCCGAAACCAGCTGTAAACACAGATAGGGAGGGGCCTCCGGGCCTGCCAGGGGAGGCGGCAACTTTGTGAGTAATTGACTCAAGGAAAACAAGTGCGGCAGGAGCTGTGTGTGGTGCTCACGAGCGAGCATCGCTGGCTGGGGTTCCTGAGACACGGGCTCTGGCCCGGCATGCTGCCTGCTGCTGGCCTCTGGAGCCCACAGCACAGAGGAAGGAGGGACTTGAAGTAAAGGTAGGAGCCTGGTGGCTGTCACTCACTGCTGCTGGCTTGGTGGAGCAGAGGATGAGGAGGCTAGAATTGAGGACCTGCCACCAATGTGAGTCAAACAGACATGAGCAAGAGGGGCAGAACAGACTCCTGGGGCAGAGCAAGTTCTTGGACAGTATCTGTCTACAGTGCAAGGTCTGCAGGGCATGGTCGCTGTCCTCAGGCTGGGGGCCCTGTTCCCATCAGAGGACCTTGTGGCCTCTCACAGCCTCGGTCCCCACACTGAGGAAGAGGGTTAGAAGTGGACCAGATGGAAGACTTTCCGTAAAGCTTGATCTATAATGCTAACCAAGGCCAGATCAGCAGCAACGTGGCAGTGGGGCTGGGGACCAGGAGAGGACAGAACACTCACTAATATCCACCCGGTACCCACAGAATACCCACTCTTCCCTGAGGACCGTGGCACTGTGGTCTGGTGGATGAGGCTCCAATAATGTGAGCCACCACGAGCCACCAAAGCCAGGCGTCACATATCCGATATCCCGGGCCTTCTGTGCTAAGTACTAGGGGAGGCTCCACAGGACAGAAGGGAACAGAACAGTCCCGGAGGAGATGACCAGAAATGATAGAGATGCCACAAAGGGACACACCTCAGGATCGGGCCAGGAGCTGGTGTACACTGACCCTCCAGGGGCCAGTTTCTAGTCCCCCATGAAGCAGGCGGGGGCACCAAGTGAAACCCATGTCTGGTGGAGGATGTAGCAAGCATTTGTCCTCCGTGGAGGTCAGGGCCACTCAGTACAGGCAGGGCCCCGCTCCATGGCCTCACTTTTGTCCGAGCCGCTGGGAGCACAGGTGAGGACTGCAGGGTCTTTGCGCAGTGGCCTCCCACGTGCTGCAGCTGAGTTCCCGCATCACCTGCTGATCGGGACCCCATGTGCCTGACCTGGGGAGGAAGACAGGCCGATGTCCAGAGACACACGATGCCCCAGAATGAAGGCTGCCCCGGAACAGACTGGAGAGGAGGACTCCTCTTCCCACACAGACCTTGCTGCCGGCCTGTGCATCTCTGGTGGCAGAAGGACCCTCCACTCACTGCCGTGACCCACACTGCTGTGTACAGGCAGTACACTCCTAGTTGGCTGTCTAGAGCAAGTGGCAGAGCCCTTAGTCCCAGTGGGGGCCAAGGCAGCAGGACCAGCGCCAACACCAGCAGCTTGGCTTCCTCGCTTTGTTCCTGCACTCTGGGAAACAGGAATGTTCGCTTCCAGTGTGTCTGCTCGGGATGCAGTTTCTGTTTTGATTTTGTGGGCCGGAGGTCTGGTTGGGCCAAAGCATAGTTTGAATGTAAAGATCCCCACTAAAGAGCTGGGTGTCCCTGAAGGGCAGGTGAAGAGGGATTCTCTATAGATCTACTTGCCAAACTCACACTCACTCACATCAAGACTGACTGGACAGACTGCAACCCAGGCTCTGTGCTGCCCTGAGGGTCAGTGACCCTGGGGGAGGAAAGGAATGCCTGGGCTCACCCAGGCCTCCCACACCTCCCAGCATTGCCCGGGAACCCAGCAAGCTTTAAGAGTAACTTCAAAGGGCCAGCCCATCTGCGGGAAATGGTGTGGGCACAATGCAGCGCCCGTGCTCAGCGCCAGCCTGCGTCACCCTCAGAGGTGCCTGTGCCCCTCACACCTCCAGGCAGGAGCTCTTCAGGACCCGCTTTTGGAGGCCCCAGGTGCACAACATCCATACCTCACATTTGCTTACACATGTGCTTGTTCTGGCACACCTGTTCCTGTGTGACGCACACACACACACACACACACACACCCCTTCATGTCCCCCTTGGCACCGGGCAGGTGTGTGTCCATGTCCTACTAGATGACAGGCTATACTTATGTCTTCTACACAAGAAGAAGGGGGAAGGGGGCAGCCTGGCACTGCTGAGTGGTTTGAGGTTCTGTGGGTTCTGTCCCCAAAGAGTCCCCTAACCAGTGCCAAAAGGCAACAGTAGCTCTGCTCATGGTGTCGTTGTGGCACAGGAAGGCACAGGCAACACACGTCTAACGGTTTCTGCAAAGGCCTCTCTGGTGGGTCACCTGGGATTCTGGTTTCCTTCCTAAACAGTCCAGGAGTCTCACCATGGCTATGAATGGCTCCAGCAGCCTGGCCTGGAGCCTCCTCTTGGCAGACACACATGTGCTGCAGAGGCAGGTACACACGTGCACAGGAGAAAGGTGACTAACTCTGTCTCTTCTCTCAACAGAGCTGCGAAGCTGGGCTGAGCTGCCATGTGGAGCTGTGGTCCAGTCAACAGCACAGCGTGGGGTGAGGAGCCGCTGTGCCGGAACCTGCGCCTGGGGCTGTGGGTCCTCTCGCTGCTCTACCTGGGGGCAGGTGTCCCTGTGGGCTTAGGCTACAATGCTCTTCTGGTGCTGGCCAACCTGGCCAGCAAGAACACCATGACCATGCCTGATGTGTACTTTGTGAACATGGCCGTGGCAGGGCTGGTGCTCACGGCACTGGCGCCTGCGTACCTGCTGGGCCCTGCCCACTCCAGGTGGGCCCTGTGGAGCCTCAGCAGTGAGGCCCACGTGACACTGCTCATCCTGTTCAACGTGGCTTCCCTGGTGACCATGTACTCCACTGCACTGCTGAGCCTTGACTACTACATTGAGCGAGCCCTGCCACGCACCTACATGGCCAGTGTGTACAACACCCGGCACGTGTGCGGCTTCGTCTGGGGCGGCGCCGTGCTTACCAGCTTTTCCTCCTTGCTGTTCTACATCTGCAGTCACGTGTCTTCTAGGCTCGCTGAGTGTGCGCGGATGCAGAACACGGAGGCAGCGGATGCCATCCTCGTGCTCATTGGCTATGTGGTGCCAGGCCTGGCTGTGCTGTATGCCCTGGCACTCATCTTGAGGATAGGGAAGGAAGAAACGCCCCTGGACCAGGACACCAGCAGGCTGGACCCCTCGGTGCATAGGCTGCTGGTAGCCACCGTGTGCACACAGTTTGGCCTCTGGACACCTTACTACCTGAGCCTGGGGCACACGGTGCTGACGTCACGGGGGAGGACCATGGAGGGGCATTATCTGGGCATCCTACAGGTTGCTAAGGACCTGGCCAAATTCTTGGCCTTCTCAAGCAGTTCCGTGACACCGCTGCTCTACCGTTACATCAACAAAGCCTTCCCCAGCAAGCTCCGGCGGCTGGTGAGGAAGGTGCACTGTGGGCGCCGCCACTGCTCCCCCGACCCCGCGGGGATACAGCAGGTGATGGCACAGGCGTAGCTCACCCTCCCTGGGCTGACATCCTAGTAGAGGGCCTGACCATGAGGAACACTGAAACTCAACTGGACACATAGCACTTTGTCCCCTAAGCACATGGTGCTCCCAACCCAGGAGACACGCAGAAGCCAGAGTAGCACAGGGAGCGGGGCATTTCTCTTGACTTGCTGTGTTTTCCCCTAAAAGGCCAATCTTGGTCTTAAGCTGCACTGTGGAAAACAGAGGTGCCTTGTGTGAACAGGCTGTTTCTAACTAACCTTCCCACCTTCCCCCTCAAGGTGTGTGCCTTTCTCCCAAGGACATCTTCAAGGTCAGTGTCCTCAAAAGCAGGCTGACCTTCAGCCTCCCTGGTATTTGGGCTTTCTAAATGAAGCAATGAAATCTAAAGCCAGTATTTATACTTCATATTGACAAGATACTTGATTCTATTATTATTTTTTTTAATAAAAGTGTTAGAAAGAGACCTAGTATTAAGAAGAAGACACCTGAGGGGAGCGTGGCTGTCACTGATCCCAGTGTTACACCTTGAGGACAGGACAGTGTCTGACAGGGACAGCTGTGGAGCCCTGGCCCCACACGTACCTGGCATCTCTCCTCTACTGAAAGACGATCTTGGTAGAGGCCTGTCTTTCCAGAGCTTCAGCATGTGCATATAAATGGAAGGAAAAAGGTGTTCTCTCAGTGCCAGAGGTCTTCCAGAGACCTGGATGTGGTAAAGTGTTAGCCAGGCATGGGAGGGAAAGGCAGGATGGTATGAGACCAGGCGCTCCAAGATGACCAGGGACTGGCATTGAGGAGAGGGCCCTGCGTGGACAGTTTCACACAGCTGTGGGGTGGTACATAATGAGGCTCACCTCCCACAACTGTGGGGTCCAGGCCTCACCCATTCGCCTCTGGGGCCATTTACCATCCCTGTGTTTGGTAATCATCTACTCTATCATGGGCAAGAAAAGAATCCCCACCACCTGCATACTCTAGGTTACATGGCAAGCCTACAAGTCCCTGCTCCCCAGTTTTAAAGCTCTTCATGTGACCATCTAACCACCCTGTCTCTAGAGAAGGCGGGTGTGTGATCCATATTTAGTGGCCTTCCTGCATGGCCCCATGGCTGATCCTGGCTGCCTGCCGCTCTGAGTCAGTAACTTCAGTTTTATTTATTCTATGCAAACTACATCTCCTAGGATGGTGACTGCTCCAGTTAATTTGCCTTAAGGAGAATTAGGGAGAAACATGAGGCCTTCAGCCCTAGCTGTGATCTACTGGGGATGCTCTGTGGGTCTCAGTTCATGAATAATCCAAAGGGCTGGGTTAGACAGGCATCTTCAGAGTTGCTTATGGCTGTGGAATTTAGTTTTGCAGACTTTAAAGTGGCAAGCCTGACTTTCCCTACCATTCCCCCAGGTGCAGAGCTCGGAGGCTCACGGCTGCCAGGCTTCCCGTCCTGCTGGCCACATGGAATACCTTAATGTTGCTGAGGAAACAGGAACCCTCACCATGAAGGTTCTAGCTCGGCCTGGCCTGCAGGCCGACTGTAGTTCTCCTATGGGTGAGAGCAAGTCCAGGAACTAAGGTCACGGCAAGCAACAGGCAGCCTAAGCTCTGTGCGCCACAGAGGAAACAGGCTTCAGGGGGCAGGGCTGTTTATGATGTCAGGGTCCCAGTTTAACAGTCTCTGCCCTAAGGACTATTTTACACCCTTTGCTCCAGGCAGAGGTCCAGGGGAGGGACAGACCCCAGGTGTGTATGGGGGGGGGGTTTCTATGCCCTGGAATCATCCACCCCAGTCACCCCAAGCAAGGTGGGGAGAGGCCCAAATCGTGTTCCTTTGTTGCAGTTTCTCAGTGGCCTTAGGTACAAACTGGCCAGGTTCGAGGGGACCCTTGAGGGACTGGAAGCCAGGACCAGGACCATGTAACTGGCATCAACTGTATAGCCACTTGTCCTGCAGGGATAATTCAGTAGAGTCCCAGATGCCTACTGGGTCTCTCTGGTGGAGCCACACACGGCCAGGGTAGTGGCCATCTGCAGAGCTGACCCTTTCGCTGTAGAGACCTCTGGAACGATGCACCCTCCCACCTGGGGCCCCATTCCCACCACCTGCCTCCCTCTTGCCCCAGCTTTCCATCACAACCACCCCAGCTCACCAGTCACTGGTGCTGGGACAGCTGCTGTCTCTGATCCTGTGCTAAGGTCATCATGTGTCTCCAGTGTCTGCTTCCCAGTCCTGCCCTGCACCTTGCAATCTCCCAAAGTAGGAAAGAACCTAAACAACACAGGAAGAGGTTACTGCAATGGGGTGTGTGTGTGTATGTGTATACGCGTGCCACTCGGTGACACTTTCTTGCATGAGTTTAAGACTCCAGGCAAGACACACACTTCCTAAGGCGTGTTAATTTGGCTGTTGACACTTTGTGATGGTTTTAATTTACAATGAATGCTCGTATTTTCATTAACTCATAAGAAAGCTTGCTGTGTGTCATTATTCAGGATTCCAGAAAGTGACCTTCTTCTTGGGTTTCCTTCACAATGCCACATGACATGACATAGGAAACCAGGCCCACTGCTCACTGGGGCAGTTATACCCAGGAACCAACAGACACCTGTTCTGTCAGAGAAAGCATTCAGTGAAGGTCAGACCAGAGCGAACTTATGACGCTAGACTGTGTCGGTTCTTGGCTCTAAGCCTGTGGGAAGATGTGGGTATTCTCACTCCTTTCCTGTGGGATCCGCCCCAGTGGCTGGATCCATTTGCTGAAATTCTGTGAATGTGAAAAAGAAACTACTGATGAGATTCACACTTCTGAAGACTATTAAATTATTTAACACTCATCACCCTGTTTCTCTTGATGTTTTCTTTAAAATAGTGGGGGAGGGGTAGGAACCAGGGCTTTGCACCGGCACCTACTACTAAGCAACAGTCCAATGTCTCATTTCCTAAACTGTGTGCTTCTAAGATGCGTGTTTTGTATCAGGGGCCAACAAAGCAAAGTCCCTTAAAACTGGTTGAATTTTGGCTGTCTATGCAGCTCAGTGGTGGAGTGCTTACCTGGCACACACAAAGCCCCAGGCTTGGTCTCCAGCACCCACATGACCCTGGTGTGGTGGTACATGCTTACAAACCCATTATCTGGGAGGGGAGGAGGGCAAGAGCGTCTTTGGCGAGGAGTCTGAGTCTGAGCCCAGTTGCAGGAGACCTTGCCTCAAGGTCTTCAGGGCTTTGGAGGTGGCTAAGGGACTGAAAACATTGGCTCTAAACCAAGTATGGTGGAGCACACCTATAATCCCAGCACTTGAGAGGCAGAGGCAGGCGGGTCTTTATGAGTTTGAGGCCAGCCAGGTCTACAAAGTGAGTTCCAGGACAGCCAGGGCTACACAGAAACCTTGTCCCCCCAAAACCAACAACACTGGCTGTTCTTCCTGAGGACTTGGGTTCAATCCCCTGTACCCACAAAGCAGCTCACAGCAATCTACATCTCCGGTTCCAGGGGCTCTAACACCCTGTTCTGGCCCCCATGGGTATCCACATATACAAACAACAACACAAATCTTTCTTTAAAAGATTGTTTCCACTCATACTATAAATCTCAGCTTTTTCTTTTTTTTGTTTACTCTATAGTTTGTCTACAGAATTACATTAAGCTGGCAAACCAAGAGCCGCTCAGATGTCATGTGCCCTGTGGCTGCAGGCCTTATAGGTGACAAAGGGAACTTAAGAGCTGTCACTCAGCTAGCCATAGATTATCAAGGGAAAGGCTACAGCTGTGTACCATTCTACTTTTCCCCAAAATGTCACCTATCTTTAGGGACAGGCTGAGAGGCTCCTGCACATGTGGGAGGGTCTGTCCCAGCAGCAGCTGACCCTACTCTGCACACAGTGCTGGGAAATAAGTGAACAAGTAAGAACCTGGGTGTGAGACAGTCCCGGTGCCATCAGTAATGAGCTCACAGTCTGGAGTCTGCTGTGAGCTTGCCTGGTTTTGCTGAATGCATGTGTGAATGACCATGCAATTGGGGGTGTGCTTTTCCTGGGATTCTTATGGTGCAGTTGGCTTTGGCAAAACCAAGAGCTGAGGTCAGGAGTGTCCAAATCCCCATGGATCCAACTTATCTTGAGGCACAGCCACTGAGGAGTATCTCCATGATCGTCTCTATGTTTGGCACACCAGGGTAGTGCAAGGACTGGACTGCTCCCACAGCTGGGTTTCCTGGCCTTCCTACACTGTTAAGATGTACAACTGGCAGGGTCCCTGAAAGATGCACCAAAACCCTCAGCAAGCTGAGATACTCCTGCTGCCACAAGACCAAGGCAGATAGCCTCCGGTGATACCTAGCATGCCCGACGGCTGGCAGGAGGGACAGGACCAGCAGTCCACAGGGAGCTTTCTAAGGTGGGAACTCAAGCAGAGGTTACCCTAAGCCATCACATGCACTTCAGGCCTAGAGTGAAGGCAACGTCAACCATATTCCCAGACTTAGCCACTCTTTTCTTCTGGGCTGCATGTTAGGCTCCCGGGGTTTCTTTCCAACCCTAATCTGAGATAAATCATAGCTATGCCTCCGGGCTTCTTTTTAGAGGAGGGCTGGATGAGCCAGGCTCCTGCCACTCAGCTCCCCTAGGTGGCCCACAGTGAGGGAGCCAAAGTGTTCCTAGCTGATGTGTCAGGCCACAGCTAGGAAAAGGGAAGGATTTAAAACCTATCACTGCTGAAAAGTTACACTCACTCTGTGTCCTGACCACCCACTCCCTGCTTCCCCCACCCTCCTATTTCCAGGTCTTCCTCCGTGCACGTGTGCCTGTGTGTGTATAATATGCATTGTGTGAACAGTCACGAACAGTCACCTGGACACCCAACAGCCTGCCTCCCTAGGCCAGGAAAAGAGGCATTATCTTTGGGGCCTTGAGGAACTAACTTTCCTTCCTTCCTTCCTTCCTTCCTTCCCTCCCTCCCTCCCTCCCTCCCTCCCTCCCTCCCTCCCTCCCTCCCTCTCTTTCTCTCTCTCTCTCTCTCTTTCTGTTTTTCGAGACAGGGTTTCTCTGTGTAGCCCTCGGTGTCCTGAAACTCATTCTGTAGACCAGCCCGGCCTCGCCTGCCTCTGCCTCCCAAGTGCTGGGATTAAAGGCATGCGCCACCACAGCCAGGATCGAGGAACTTTCTAGAATGATGGAAATGGTCTCTCAATGGGCCACTGGATATATGGCTGCATACACCTGTCAGAATTCATCAGCCAGGAACCTGGAGAACCTGTCAACTGGGTCATGTATGTACTGGCCCTCAGTGTCTCCTGAGGAGAGGACAAGGATGGCCAGCCCCTCATGAACCTGGGAGACACATACAGAATGCTGTAAAGTGAGAAGTGCTGTCGCTGTCACGCTATGAACAGAAGAGCCTGTCTTAGGACTTCCCTGGGTTTGTGTTTCAGAGCTCCACCCAGTGGCCATTAACGGACTTTCCGTCAGTGACTTCAAACCCCCACAGGCAGCACAGGCCAGGGACAGGTGGCCAGGAGCCAGGAGAGGGCAAGTTAGGCAATCGCTATTAGCTTGCCAAGCCCAAGGTCCTCCCACAGTAGATAATGTGGGCCCGGCTAAGCATCCTGTGCAATCCCACTGATGTCCGCCATCTCCGTCACAGGATAGATTTACATGGAGAAATGCCCTGACCTCCAGAGCTTCTGAGCATTAAGTTGGGCTCCTACACAACTTATCCTAGTCTGTCTTTGCCACACCATGGCTAAGCTGAGGGACAATGGGTCTGGGAGACAGCAGGGCTCTCAGAGGGATGGAGGCCCTGTCACTGGCCATTCCTTCCCTCTGCTGTAGAGAACACTTGCAGCCAGGGCTGCTCTCCTGTAGCCGTCTTGCTCTCAAGTCACAATCAAGCCCTTGGCACCCGAGCCAGCAGGGGCAAAGACCCCACATGCTCCGGTGGTGAGGCAGGGCTGGTCTGTGTGCAGGCCCACCGATGGACTGCTAAATACCATGTGGGGCTCTCAAGCCACACCTGCTGTGGCAGACACTGCAGTGGATGTGGGGGACATGGGCAAGGCCCTGTCATATAGCACTCCCACTGCAGGGGCTTATGAGACTGGGGACATAGGCTTCCCTCTCCAGGCTCCAATGGCTTCTTCTCTTTTTTTTGTAAAGGCTAGCACCACCATGCCTCCACAGCCTGTATGCATTTCCCTAACAACTAATGAGCCACCTATATCTTTTTTTTTTAAAGATTTATTTATTTTATGTATGTGAGTACACTGTCACTCTCTTGAGACACATCAGAAGAGGGCATTAGATCCCATTACAGATGGTTGTGAGCCACCATGTGCTGGGAGTTGAACTCAGGACCTCTGGAAGAGCAGTCAGTGCTCTTAACTGCTGAGCCATCTCTCCAGCCCATCTTTTTTTTAAAAAAGATTTATTTATTTTATGTATGTGAGGACACTGTCGCTGTCCTCAGACACACCAGAAGATGGCATCGGATCCCATTACAGATGGTTGTGAGCCACCACATAGTTGTTGGGAATTGAACTCAGGACCTCTGGAAGGGCAGTTATACTCTTAACCACTGAGCCATCTCTCCAGCCCACTCCAATGGCTTCTTGGGAAGAGTCTGTCTTGTGAACCTGGCACTATGTCAGGTGTCCTTAGATTCTCCTTCACTGTGCCTTCAGGAAAGCCCGAGGGTACTGGCTCTACTCAGTGAGTCTAGATTGTTTAGCTATGTGTTCCCGAGTCCTGTGTCTGAGGTAGAGGCAGCTGGGAGAATGGGGATCTTCTCAGGTCTCAGGGATTCCCGACACACTCTTGGTCAGCCGCACCTACAGGCTCAGGTCTGAAAGTCCTGTAGACAATTACAGGATTCAGGCTCTCTGTGGCTACAGGAAACTCTGCCTTGATAATACCAAGTCCAATGTGACTATTTATATATCAACTTGGTAGGACTCAGAATCACCTATGAGACAAACTTCACACATCAGTCAAAAATGTTCTAGATTGGGTTAACTGAAGCAGGACCCTCCCTGCATGTGGGCAACTCCACAGGCTAGCATCCCAGATCAGAAAAAGAAGAAAGCAAACTAAGAAAATAACAATGCTCCCTAAGAAAATCACAATGTTCACCTCTCTCTGATTCCTGACCGTAGAGACGGTGTGACTGGCAGCCTCCTGTGCATGCCTCCGCCTTCCCTGCCATGGTGGACTGTATCCCCTCAAGCCAGGAGTCCCAAATCAAGCCTTCTTCCCTTACGTTGCTTCCTGTTAGATGCTAGGACACAGCAGTAGCTGATGCCCACACAGCACTGGGGAGGCTGGGCTGCAACTACACACGCTCACAATGCAGGCACAAAGGCACACAAACACACAGCCCCACGGTAGACACAACTCTGCACAGACACAGCTCAGGATCGTGCATGCTTGGGCTCCCATCACGGCCTCATCTGAGATTCCTTGTAGCTGACTCTACATGGCTGGTACAGCCAAGTGTCAGTCTCTCAGCCACAGCTAGGAAGGGAGGTGGAGAGTGGAAGCATGACATAGTACCCCCAAGTCCTTTCACTAAAAGGGAGGCGGTGGCGAAGGGCGGTATGCTGGTTAGGGTTACCATTGCTGTCATGAAACACCATGACCAAAAGCGAGTTGGGAAGGAAAAGGTTTGTTTGCCTTACACTTCCACAGCGCTCAGTGTTCATCACTGAAGAAGTCAGGGCAAGAACTCAAATGGAACAGGAGCCTGGAGCTGATACAGAGGCCATGGAGGGGTGCTGCTTATTGGCTTGCTCAGCCTGCTTTATATAAAACCCAAGACCACCCCCCCGCAGTGGGCTGGGGCCTCTCC